CGAAGCCAATTGCACGAGTTCGAGTGGCCACGCATACTGAAGAAGATCTCAGGAGTTTCTTTGATGAATATCAGAATATACTAGTCAAATATGGAATTAAGCGGGCCAAATACATATTCAATATGGACGAATCAGGTGTCAGAATTGGATGTCCGACGGGAGAGATTGTGATTGTACCTACTGATATAAAGGAACTCTATACTGCAAGCCCTGAAAATCGGAAGTCCATTACGATCATTGAGGCTATCTGTGCCGATGGAAGCCCACCACCACCTCCAGTTATTATTTGTCCTGGTGAGAAGATTATGGAGAGTTGGATTCATGATAATTTGACAGGAGCTGAAGTAATTACAGTATCACAAACTGGGTATACAAATGAGAGTATCGCTCTCTCATGGCTTGATCATTTTATTAAGCATGTTGGTGCTGGCCCTACTGAACATTAGCGTATTCTTCTTCTTGATGGTCACCTTACACATTGCCAAGATGACTTCATTATTAAATGCCATGAGAACCATGTTGTGCCCTTCCAGTTTCCCTCCCATCTTACGCATGTCCTCCAGCCCTTAGATGTTGGTGTATTTCGTCCATGGAAGCATTACCATAATAAGGCAATTCATAATGCTCTTCACTCTCTTGATATGGAATATACACTATCATCCTTCTTTCGAGACTTGAGTACTATTTGCGATGAAACCTTTAAGCCCTATACCATCAAACATTTCTTTGAGGAGTCTGGCATGTTCCCAGTTTCCTATAAGAGGGCTTTGAAGAAAATGCGGCATTACAATAAGAGCAGGCCACTTAGTAACCAATCTAGTACTACGATAGGTAATAGTAATTCCTCTCAGGACCCAATAATTCCCTTATTGGAAGAAGAAGGAGAGCTGGAGATTCCTGTACTTCCAAGTACATATTTTGAATGCCAGAAAGGCATTAGTGAATGGGTTGACCGTGCTGAAAGTTTCAGTCCATCCTCTAAACTCAGATTTCAACAATGGGCTAAAGGAACCCAAGTATGCCTTGCTCAAGCAGAACTTCAGCAGCAATCGTACCTCAAGGTTCAAAATCAAATACTTGAGACAAGCATGCAGAAAACTAAATCTCGCAAGGTTGTTCAAAAGGGTGGTGTTATTACTGTTGAAGCTGCACGCTTGAAAAAGCAAGAAAAGATCCAAAAAGAAAAGGCTGCTGCTATCAAAAAGGCGCAAAGGAATATCCAAATTGCGGTTAATAAAGCAAAAGCATCACTTAATCGGCGTGGTATCGAGGCTCGAAAGGCCGAGAAGGTAAGAAGAAAACAAGTCAAGGAAATTGAAGCCATGGGCAGAATTGTTCCATCTGAACTTCTTCTGGCAATTCCTGATCCCGAAAAAGATCCAAGTCCTGAGGATCTTGAGTCATTACAGCCCCCTCCTGACCTCTTACAAGTCCTATTAATGCTGCAGCCAATCTCCCCCAGTGCAACAAGTGCAATTGATCCACAATTGCTTACACTGGACAATGAAGTGGTGGATGTAGAGATCATTACTACAGGAGCTACTGCCAAGGATACACATACAATAGAACAAGGTGGTTTTACAGAGAATGATGCTGAGGATTTTGCCGCAGAATCTGATTCAGATTCTTCTTGTATCTCATCAGACTCCATTATGGAAAATGCAGACTTTGTATCTTTTAATTAAGAATCTGTAGTCTAGCAGTATATAGCAATACAGATATGGAATCTGGCGGAGTTATAGTATTATGTAACCCTCTCTTATCATGTCTTGGCAAAAAAAAAAAAAAGCCGGGGCGTCCCACTTGGTTTCGCGTCCCACTTGGTTTCACCGACTATGAGCGACAGCGAAATAGGAGGGGAACCGGCTATTAGGCCTAGCGGCGGTTGAACACTCGTGATGAGTATACAATAGATCGTCGACCTCATGGCCCTAAGTTACTAGCAAGGATAAATAAGAATCGATCAATCCCCAGAACTTGGATGCAGGACGACGGTCTCTACCTAATCGAGCCCGGCAGGAGACAGGCTTACTCGGTGATTGTACTTTATTGTATGATACTGGATTAATTTTCTGAGCAAGTGATCGCGGGTTGAGGAACTCCAACTCCAACTATCATACAACCCCGACAGAGATCATGTAACAATTCATGTCTCCACGATTGATTGATTGATTGATTGAATAATTTATATTCCGCAAGAGGTAATACACAAGATGTAATAGTATTTTGTTATATTTTGTTTTATTTATTTGTTTTTATCCCTATTTTTTTGTTCCCAATAACATGCATTGATACTATTCATCAAGACCCTTTTCTCACCGCTACTAGGAGTCTCCACGCCCCTTAGCACTCTGTCTGCTATACTGATTTTCTGAAGAACAGGGTGTTTGAGCTCCTTAGAATTACAAGACTTGCGGAGTGGAAGGTAAGTAATGCCTACCATGATCGAGGAGCTCAAGCATCTTGTATTTCCGGAAATTGGTGTAATAACATAGCGTTATTGAGGTTGCAAAAGTTTTTATCACCCATTTGTCACTGGTGAAAAGGGTAAGGTCATGGCATTTAGGCTTAGTATTAAAACCAGAAAATACTCCTCCATCTTACCTTTCAAACACCTCTTGCAAAACTAAGTTTGCTCATTGCATCGTGAGGAACCGAGCTGTCATATGACATCTGCCGAGGTTGTAGTGGTGCAATTCTCGAAAACTTCCCAAAAATGCGAGGGTTTTCAACTCCCAAACTCTTTTGGTTCCGCCCACCTCCCTTCAAATAGCATTTTACCTCTCCCTCCTCCTCCCCCAAACCCCCAGATCTATCAGCCAATCGTCTGGATTAAGGCCCCGAACTGCGCGCACTTCTCCATGCTGATCTTGCCAGCCAGGCACAACAACTTTGTCTTGAAGGTGGGTGACATAGTAGTCGAAGGAGGATAACCCGCCTCCTTGAGCTGCTCCAAGATAGGGCCGCACATGGCATTAGCCCCAATGGACTTCTTTTTTGAACCCCCTTTGTGAATCTCGATGCCGCAGTGCGCAGTGTACTTTTCCAGATCGTCCTCAATTCTCTTGTGGATTTGGCGAGAGCAGTGCCCCTTCCTATAATCTTCCGCAGACGGAAGGTCCCACAGGCCGGCTTCCCTCCAGAGGACCTTTGTCTCGCTGCCGTAGGGGCCGCAGTTACAGGGCAGAGTCTTTTGGCGGCAGTCGGGGTTGAGGAAGCAGGTTGTCTTGTCCACGGGTTCGATGGGAGTATTGAAGTTGTACTGAGACATGCAGACGGGAACAGTGAAGAAACCGGGCTGGCGGGCATCCCAGACCTTCTTGCTCGAGGCGGCATCCTTGAATGAAGCAAGGCTTAATGTCTCGGGGGGCGAGGTGTCTTTCTTGTGTTGCTCCATGTAGGTCATGACAGAGGAGTGGATGATGTCCTGATGATTTTTTGTCAGCGCAATACTCAGCCACAAGGGGTTCTATATGTGTATACATCTATACCTTAGGATCAACATCGTAGGGAGCGTCCTGGATGTCTTGCATTCCGAAGGGGTACTCAACACGATGGCTGGCGTATGCAGTGTATCTACTCATCCACTTATACATGTAGCAGACGTAGCCATCAACACATTCCTTGAGATCTTGTGGGCCCGACATGTCCTTCGGGCAAATGTTCGTGGGGTACTTGGCGGGCGATGTGCTGTCGGCACGGGGCTTGACTGTCTTGAAGTCCTTGGTGCAGGTAATCCAGATTTCCTGAGACCTAAGGGTAGTGTCGAGTGCCTTCAGCATGAAGTTCCTGGTAAGCTTCTCTTCAATTCCGGGCCCAGTCCACAAGGAGAGAGCCTCAGAGGTCGGTGGGAGATACCCACCGGAGCCGGCGAGTTTGGAGAAGCTTGTTGCTCCTGAATACTCATAGTCGGAATCGGGAATCAAAGTCGGAATTTCGGCGGAGTGAAGCACAAACACTCACCTTCTTCGTCAGCGTCGATGCCCTTGAAAAGTTCATCGACTCCATCCCCGAGCCTTCGCCTCGTAAACTCTCCGGTTCCCTTGAGGTAAAGCAAAAGCTCCTCTGTGTTCCTTTCCACAGAACCCTCGCCGCCTCCAAAAGCAGTGTGCTTGTACTTGCCAATACCGGTAGTGTCGAAAGCCATCTGTGGTACTATAACTCCAAGCCAAGGGCTAGCAGCTTGATACCATTTCTCGTCCGCGAGCGATTTCTGGGCTCCGCTAGCGACGATACGATCGTAAAGTTCCCGGCGTCTTTTTGTCTCGCGTTGTGCCTCGAGGAGTCGCTCGGAGGCGACCTCGCTGGAACTTTTCAATTTGACTTCCCGGATATGAGCCTGAAGGGCATCTACGCTGACTTGTGCCATCTCCCACGACTCTTTGGCGAAAGAGAGGATGGAACTTCCGGGCACCCAGGCGGTTACAGACGCGATGACTATCTGAATGAAGACATTCAGATAACCAATGAGGAGTTCGTGGGTTCGCTCGTAGTCAGACTTTTCAGGCCAACGCAGGGCCTTGGCCATCGACGGAGCAAGGAGAGCGACGTTCGCTTGGGCGGCGGTCAAGTCTTTCTGTCGAACCACACCACTAATTACTGGATATATCTAAAGCACAGGAATAACCACTTACGCGGACTGTATCGAAGACGAGATTGAGGTGCTGAGCAGACTTCAAGACAAAATAGACCTTCTGAGCTTCCAGAACATCCGGTATACTCTTGACGAGATTGACACAATCGACCTGACCTACAGATTGTTTTTAAAAAAAAATGGGCATGGAGGTGCGGGAGGATTCAAGGTCAGGGTTGGCACTTACAGAGAGATGCGGTGTTTGTGCCACAGACCATGCCAGTATCGCCAAGGTAGTCGTAGGCAATAGCGCCAATAACACCCCGTTGCTTGTAGTTGTCTGTATGTCTGTTCTTCTTCGTATACTCTTGGAGCCATTCTGTAGCTTCGCTGACAAACCAATTCTCAACAACCAACCCGAATTCTTTGGACTTGCATAGTCGAATTGCGTCCGCTTGGGAAGGGGGTTCCGTAGTATTCGCTTTCGGGATAAGGACTCCGTCCCCCGGGAATGAGTGAGACGACCCACTGAAGAGGGTGCACCCCAAGACACCAATGACAAGCTTGGAGAGATGCATCTTAGAAACCAAACGCAAAGTGGGTAAGGTTAGGTGAAAGAAAGAGTAAGGGAAGTTTATGTATGGTAGAGAGGAGAGCGGAGGATGCTCTACCTGCTCTACGCCGGCTCCGATATAATGTCCGGAAGGTGCATGAGGAATGGGGAGGGGGGAAAGTGGGGTTTTTATGACTCCACCAGCGCTAGCAAACTACCTAGACCGATCTTGCCGGGGAATGTCTTTTTTTCCCGCAATGGGGGCTCGCATGCTGTTCTCCTCAGAGCGATCATGACCGGTTATCTGAACTGCTTTGGTTAGAAATATTGGGTGCTCCACAAGGCCGGCGTCTGGAGACCTCTCGTCAAACCTACCTCACATTCTTGCCATGGCACCCACTATTTCCTAATTTAGATGTGCTCATGAGCCGTGACGTGCTGGTAACCCATCTTGCAGGACTGAATCGCAATGATTGGAGTTGCGGCTTTAGCGTTGCCGAGAAGCTCCATCTCGACTAATCTGATTCTTCATAAAAGCTCACTCGGCATAGGCTAACCTTGGCATTCACCATGGTTATCATACCACCAAAATCCTTTCATCTAATGGTCACTTCAATCCAAGCACCCCACCCACTCCTTCCTAAATGCGGCGAAGGAAACGATAGGTTTGATTTATCCAGGTTCACGAGTCCTCTCGTCTAAGGTTGCTTCTCCCACCTAGGCGATCGTTGCGGAATGATGTGCTCAGTTGTATTGGTCGGAGGAGAGAGAGAGATTTTCGTTGTTCCAAGGAAATGCTACCCATAAGCTATAAAATGCTAGCACCCTAGGCTAAATTGTGCGGGGGTTTGTTGTCCCCCAAATTCATCCCCCCCAAACCAGTTATTTGATACATTGGAATTACAGTCTGGTCCAATATATACCAAATAGAGGGCATAATTGGCACCCCGCCTAATCCAGACTTGACAGGATCAGTGCTCTCTAGTGTTAGGAAGCATCAGAACAGCTCAACATGGAGACCCATCCCGAGCTTCGGAGCCTTCTCGTCAAGACGTCCAGATGTATTTGAAAGCGTGGAGTTCACCGGCATGCTCCCTAATGACGCTCTCTACCAAGATGCTGTCTAAGAGTAGGGCATGTCATTGCTCATCCCGCAGACGGCTGTCGAGCGACTTCCCGTACATACCACACCTACGTACCACATGGCCGGACGCTCAGTAGCATCATGTCAACCCATTCGGCTTATGTCTCAGGACCTAACTTTGAAAATTGTTTCCCCCCCGAAAATTACCCACAATAGCTGCCTCCAGAATGGAATTTTTCTTGGAATCACAAATAATTTTCTTCCAAAGCCGCACTGCGATCACCACAGTAACGACTACGGTATTTTGAAAAAAATAAAGGAGAGGATACAAGTTAGATTATTGCGGGTGACATCCTAGAGGTTAATCCTCTACTACGCGGTTAACAATAAACGGTATATATTCGCCTATTGAGACCCTATTATAACACCTCATGTGAATTCCACTACCGCCATCGCACGTTCCGCCATGTAGGGCATAGCAATGCATTACATCCTCCCGGGCTTCTGTTCAACTTGAAGGTGATACTGCCGGCAAATACGTTACCCGCTTGTAGGGAGATCCGGGACTAACTCCGTCTCCAATTCAGGGGATGTCATACATCCATGGCAGAATGGTATTATAATACATGATTATTTTTTTTTCCAATTTCGAATTCTTAGATGACACGTGCCAAGAGGAGTGGGTATCCAGCAGCCTTGCGGATACCAATATTCCTTAATTGGCAATTATTCTATAATATTATTATTATACTAGTACAAAATTTGAGGGTTATGATACAAGTGAAATCGCACCCCGTGATTACCAAACCTACATACATACAGGTTCCAAGCCAGCCTATCCCCTCCTCTTCGATTTCTTCTGCTTCTCCACATGCGCTCTGAGTACCCGTTGCCTCTCCACCAAACTCCTCTTCTGCTTGCCCTTCGCCTTACTCTTCGTCATCATAAAGTTCTTTTTCCGGGCCTTCTCCTTATTCGTAGTGCTATGCGTCTTGTCACGTTTCCCCTTCTTGGAGCCGAACTTCTCCCGACCTTCGCGGCCTTCCATGACTGCCACGAGCCGGGCCTCTTTATCAGATTTTCCGCGTTTTTGTGGGCCCTTGATAGCATCTGCGTCGACGGCATCTTCGTTTGTGATTCTAAAGAGTATGTTAGTAATGTTATATTATCCCAAGGTAGCGCAGCCTAGATCTGGAACATGAGAGGTATTACTTTTTACCCATGAGTCTCTCTAACCCTGCTGCAGTCCTTAATTCCACTAGCTTTGCAAAGTCTGCTGGTGTGAGGATTTTGCTAGTCGCTAGCGTTGATACATTTCTCTCCACCTCTACTTCTCCCAGTGAGCCCTCCCCTTCCTCATAATCGACTTTGGTTTTCTTTTTGGGCTTGTCGTCTTCGCCTTCATCCGAGTCACTGATTTCGATTTCGTCGTCACTTGCCACGTTGATCCACCCTGTCTCATTGTCCCCACTATCATCTTCCTCAACCTCCCACCCTGCCCAGTTTGAGTCGTCCTCCGATTCGCCGTCCTCCTCGGCTTCCCATTCTTCTTCATGTCCCCCTTCTTCGTCATCTCTGGCTTCGATCTCCCCTGCTGCGGCCTTTTTAATTTGTTTTTGCTCGGCTTTCCACTGTTCAAGGAGTTCTAGGCCTTCGATTACTCCCTCCTTTTCTATTCCGAAGCGGAGAGCCTCCCTGTTCTTCATATCCATGGCTGCTACCTTCCCTCTATCCTTCTTTCTTAACATTTCAGGTGCGACTTCTCTGAACAATCCGATCAGACCCCGCGCCGCCATCATGACACCCTTGTCTTTAGAGCCCTTGTATTCGGTAAGATCCTGGAGAAGTGTAGCATTCATAGCTAGCGGAGCTCGTGCACAGATCTCACGAATGCCGTTAAGACTATTAGATCATTAAAGTTAGCATATATTGTGGTCGAGCGAAGTGAATAATATTACCCAGCCGTAGCAACCTCAGCCGCAACACCCTCCGAGACGAACTCATCCGCAATCTTCTTAACTATGGGCTCCAATACATCTGGCGGGACAAGGTCGTGAGAAGCTTGGGCACAGCAGACAAGGAATTGTGTAACATCCCGCTGGCGGGGAGTAAGAAACTTCAGTAGATAGGAGTACAATCCCAACACACTGAGCTTATGTAAACCAACTAGACGGGATGTCAACTGGAGGACAAGCAGCTTTTGTTCCATCGTAAGTTTATTATTACGAGGGAGGTGTTTTGAGAACAGAGCCTCCGCAAAACCCTGGGGGTCATGGAGTAAATGCAGAGCAGAAAAGTTCAGCGGATGCGGCTTATTCTTATTCTTCTCTCTCTAGAAAATGCAGGGGACATTAGCAAAACTATTCACGTAAGCGAGGTAATATGGATCAAAACTTACCTTCTTCAATAGAGCATACGCCTTCTCCAATTGCTTTCTCTTCTTATTTGTCTTCTTATTAATTCCAGCCTGATGCTTCGCCCGTCCAATATCTACCGCTCCATCATCATCACTATCCTCCTGCTCCTCCATATCCTGATCAACGCCTAGAAAGAAGCGGATCCCACCACCCATAACCTTCGGATTGGCACAGAGACTCGCTTCCTTCATGATCTCCACAGTCCTCGCATCATCCCACACTCTCCTTTTCCACAATTCCCTCGTCAACTTCACCGCCCACAGACCCGCCGTAGATCCAGCATCGTCCTTACCCGCCTCCACAAGCCCGAACAACACCGTCTGCACCGTTTTATTCAATTTGTGGTTCTTGGCCTTCGCATTTGAATTGCGCAAATCACTAGTAATGGCAGAGTAGATCTGTGTGCGAAGTGCTTTGCTCGTAGTAGCCGTTAGAATAGGGATAAGGGTTTGCAGAAGCGTCGTAGAAGGGATAACGTCCTTATTCCTGAGCAATACCAGACTTTGGACGAGTTTCTCTCGAAGCTCGTAGTGGAGGACGTTGTGATGCTTTGACAGTAGTCCGGCTAAGTCACTCGGGAAGTCCTCTGTCAGGTCTGGGTAACAGCTAGTCACTTGCGACATGAACCCGACTAGATCCGCAAAGGTCTCGCCGGAGTTGCCCTCTGGCTGGGACATGAAGATATCGCGCTGCGACTCATAGTGCCGGTATTGCAGGATAAATTCTTCGCGGTAGGAGGGCGGGTCGCGGCGGATGAGGTTTTGGAGCATGGGGCTGTTGGAGGATTATTAGCACTCGTCACCACATCCAATGAGAGCCCTGGGAAATGGGAAGGCACAGATTTGTGAGCTTCACGAGCCCGCCTCTCTTTCGCTTAACCATTACGGCGCAATTGTGGGGGTTAAATCCGGTGTGAAGTGTGATGTATGGTGAGGGGTGAAGAATTGGGTCCAGAAATCCGATGCGAATTTTTCTCAAGCCTAGCCGCTATGTTAATAGCGCTGGGAAAGCAGGGTAACGGCGCAGGAACCAGGAACCTCCGCCAAAATTGCACACAAAGATTATTGAGGAATCTAACTTATGATACTTAAATCATTCCAGGAGAATTATTCCCTCATACAAATAGCAGTTCCATAGTGTTGACACTATGGGACTGCCAAACACGGAGGCGCAGAATTTTTGGCCTCATTACCAAGTGCGAGTGATAGACGATGACCAACCTAGGAGTCCATATTTTTTAAGAACCGAGAGCACGGTGGCTTACCAATATTGCTGCAAGGCAACTAGAAATGATACCCATAATTCTGGGGGGGCTCTGTTTGGTTCTCTGCAAGCACAGCGGTCTATAATTTTCTTACAAGAGTTTGTGAACTCCGACAGGACTGTCTATCTGGACAAATTTACTTATGTATAGAACAGCAGTTTCATGCAAGCGTCGAGTTTCCAGATCTGCCAAGATTGTTCACTGTTGAGCCTGGCTGGACTCACGGGTAGGCACAGAAGCTTTGCAAGCATATAAACAGAGTCAGGACCATGACGTACCGAAATGCAAGTATAAGTATGATACTTGGCTTCCTTCGGCGGCCCATCTGTAATACACTACCCTTTCAAAGCCATATTCTGTGCACATCCAAAGCCGCTCATGCTGCTATTATCGTACGGGTATTTCTCTAACCTCGAGAGCGCTCACCGTCCACAAACAGCGATCACTATCTATACGTCCATTGCCTGAAATCGTATGCGCCGACCATGCTTGCGGTGGGACTTACTAGAATTGTTTAAGTTTGAGGCAAGTAAAGCTCTTGCACCCGTCCCCTCAAGAATTACTCGCGTGTCTAGCCCTTTGCGAAAAGCAGATTCAGAGCTCCCCCGGGCATCGCTCCTGACGCAAGTATGTATGAAGGGGGTCTGTTCCCTACTATATCGACGGTATGATATACGCATCTCATTCACCAATCTGGTTTCTCCCATTCTAATGTAGATTGCGCAATTATGCAATTGGTATTGTAGAATCCCCCACATCTATACAACTATTGTACACTGCTAATAGTCTACGAGTAACGCTAAAGTATCATACACACACCAAAATTTACCTCGTGCTGCCTTCTGTCCTCTCCAACAATTCCTCTAGTCCCAACGGCTCCCATACCCCCCTATTCTTTTTTCCCTGCGCCCACACCACGTCCCCTTGAAGATATACTTCTGAGCCCCCGCTCCCGGTGGCGCTTGCTGTAATTTTGAACAAAGGTCTGCCGCTTGCTTCATGGGCTTTGCGTAACGGTATAAATAACAGATTGTGATCGGTGCACCAGTCCTCCACTGCTTCCCTGAAGGTCGCTCCCGCCGGTGCGGGGGTGCTGCTTGCTTTGGTAGGTGTAGGCCTTGGTGCGGCAGCCTCGGGCTTGGTCGGACGTACGGGTCCTATGGGAGGGGGCATAAGCTTGGTGGGGGCATCTGGGCCCAAGTCCAAAGCACGGTTCATCATATCGAGACCCTTCTTGAAGCCGCTTCTGATCGCGGGAGCGCTTCTTAGTTCCTTCGGGAAGACATCTTGCCAGAACATATACCACTCCTGAACTTCTGTGAAAATGGGTTTGGCAGTCAGCCATTGGTATAGTATGTTCAGCCACTTAGGGAAGAATTCGGTTTCGACGAGTTGGGTGAAAGTGGAGATTCTGAAGAAGGGAATCCACTTGAAAACGTCCTCTAAGGGCTTAAGGATCTGGTCTCCGGGGTTGACGTCGAAATCGTCTCTCAATCTTAGGGCAAGTCGAGGGAGTAGGTGGCGGACCAGTAAATCCTCGAGTTGGCCAGGACCGAAGACTTCCTTCCACGCTTCTAACCCTTCGACTGTCCCCTTGGAGACATCCCAAGTATCCAGAACGATCCCGAACCCCCTCCTGACGTCACGGAGGAGATCATCCATATGAGGACCCAAATGTGGCAACCACTGAAAGACCCATAGATGCGGGGGCTGACGAGCGTTCTTCCCTTTTCTTACGCGGGGGTTCCAATCGGCAACTGCCGCACGAAGTTTGGGTAACACCAGTTGGTCGAGAATGTTGGCGTGTATAAAAGGTGGAAGAACAGAGGTCCAAACATCCAATAGCTCTAGCACTGGTGTAGGTTTATGCACATCCCAATCATTGTTAATGGCTGATCGCACCTTCGGAAGCCAGAGGGAAAACATCAAACTCTCATAATGGGTTGCAGACTTGCTTCGCTCAATGAAACCATTTTTAGTATACTCTGCTTCGAGGTCTTCCTTGGATCGTACATGGAGTATACGGCGAAGCCTGCAGAAATTCTCAAAAAAAAGGAACGGATCTGTAAGAGGGGACCAGCTAGCAAGCTCCTGTTTGAAAAGTGGGTGCAGTGCCGCAACTGTAACTCCAGCCAAGTCGTGGTCTTCTATCTCGCTCTGATACTCGAGCTGGAGTACCTCTAGCTGCGTTACGATTGCTTCGATAGAGGCCTTCGGATTTGCGATGTTCAAAGCGAGGCTTCGAAGACCCTTCACCATATCCACCATACCCTCTAGCCTGCGAATCTCCTTGATTTCTTCATCCATCTCTAAATTCAACCTTCCTTCCTCTTTATTTATATAGGTCTTCCGGTCTTGCAGACCCGTCCATTCCCCTGCAAAGCTCTCGAGATCCTTTCGAGCCATCCTAGCAATCTTTTGTGATTCGTCTTCAGCCGAAGGCTTGGACATGATCCCAGAGGCAGATGTCAACAATTTTCTCTCCTTCCCAGTAAAGTCGATTATGTTCTTTAGAACCGACGGAACGTCTAGCCCTTTTGCAGCAGCCGATATCTCCTCTGCAGTTCTAAACTTTGTTTTCCCCTTTTTAGTCCCAAGAGGAGTTCTGCTGGGCGTACTACCCATTGAGCCACTTCCTGCCTTTCTCTTTGCCTTCTTTTTCTTTTCTTCATCTTCACTATCAGAAATGACCTCTCCTCTCAATGCAGCAGCTCGCTTGGCCTCCTTTCTTGCTTGGTCGGTTTTCTCCCGAATCACCCCTACCCCTGCGCCTTGTGGCCGAAGCTTAACTTCTATAGGAGCCAATATACCCTCTCCCTTCTTTCCAAGACCCTGGCCCTCAACATGGCCCATCTTTGCCATCATCCTCGCGGCGAAACTTTCAGGGTTGGCTTTCGGCTGCGAGGCGTCATTTGCACGGCCCTTTCCCTTTCCCCGTGAAGGTTGTCCAGGAGTAAAGGAGGAGGGTCGAGGGACAACGTTCTCAGATTGCGATACTGGAAGTTCGGGATCCAACGAAGGCGTTCCCATAGGGGCTGCAGCGAAAGACGAAACAAACCCCCGTCCCAGCGGCATTGAGTACTGCTGCGCCACCGGTGATTCAGGTTGCGGCGATTCGGTCGAACCAATTCTTGATACCGCCGAAGCTTTGAATCCCAATCCCACATGAGCATCGAATGACTGTGGAGTGGATGTTCCGGAACCGCTTTGAGACCCTGCTCCCAAGCCCACGCTAGCGAACTTGCTTAAGGGCCCCCTTCCTAGACCAAGGCGAGGCCTTGTATCTGACTCTTCCTCACCGCCTTTACTGCCCCAACTACCAAGCCCGGCGAATCTAGCAGTGGCATCCGAACCTGATCCCAGGCCACCAGCCACCCTACCATCATCTCCAGTTTCTCCTCCCACCTTTCGCATCACCCTAATAGCTCCGGTGTATTCGTCCTCGTTATCCTCACCATCCTCGCCATCTTCGCCATCCTCCCCATCCTCCCCGTCCTCTCCGTCAGCAGCTTGGCTAGGCTTGACAAACCCCATTCCTTTATTCCTCAGCCCTTTACTGCCCCATACCTTACTACCTCGCGTACCTTTACCCTCACTATCGCTCCCGAAAACACCTAATGCAGCACTCTCTTTTGTGTTCCCCCTGGTCCGTCGTCGCTTTTGTTGGTACCCAGAAGAAAAGCGTTCGTCGTCATCGGTTAGATGATGAAATTCGATTTCGTCTTCGCTCGAGTCGGAATCCGAGGAGTCCTCCCAATCCTCCATTTTCCTTTTACCCATAGCGACAACCTTTTGTTCGTAATTGTAAACCAAGACTGAAAGAGGTGAATCCGCAAGTTTGTTGTTCGTGAAGGATACAATCCAGGAATTTTGAGGCGGAAGTGTGCCCGGTGGTGTGGATGACTCATCAAACAAAGTTAAATACCCCAATCAAGAACCCAAGCCATAAACAGACAATTTAGCCCCACACAGATCATACCTATTTTTCTGTGAGACGGAAAAAAAACCCTCCAACCTCTCGCCCAGAGCTCGAACAAATCAACCTTTAACTCCGACCATTCTCTCATCTCCAATCAACAAAGCCCACCAATTGGCCTCTCGATTAGTTTGCCTCGCGCCCGCAATTTTACTACTAAAACAATAAAAACAGTTTCATTATAATGGCCTTCACCCCTCGCGGAAGAGGCGGGGCAAGAGGAGGAGCTACTCCTAGAGGCAGTTCTCGTGGTGGTGCCCGTGGTGGATCTCGTGGCGGATTTGGTCAGTCCTCAATTTCTATATTCCGATATTCTTATCGCAGCTCGGCAATGCTCTCCTCACAATCTCCCTTTTTTCCTTGTGTTTCCCCCGACAGTTAGCTTACCCACCAGTGACAAAAATGTCCTCCAACCCTCCCTCTGCAAAAAGGAGAACCCCGCAGAAAAGCCCCTTTTACAAGATCCAAACCAGACACCCTGATATGGTGCTAGTGGAGAAATTTGACTAACGTACTCAATTGCTTCAGGTGGTGGTGCTCGTGGCGCACCCCGTGGTGGTGGACGTGGGGGTGCACGCGGCGCTGGTCGTGGCCGCGGCGCACCCAGAGGAGGAGGTCGTGGAGGAGGACGAGGAGGCGTCGGTGGTGCTAAGGGTGGTGCTAGAGTTATTGTCGAGCCTCATCGCCATGCTGGTGTTTTTGTCGCCCGTTCGAAGGAAGACATGTTGGTCACCAAGAATCTTTCCCCCGGAGAGTCAGTCTACGGAGAGAAGCGCATTTCAGTCGATACACCCTCCACTGAAGCCGATGGTGCCCCCACCAAGACTGAATACAGGGTCTGGAATCCTTTCCGCTCAAAGTTAGCCGCAGGTATTTTGGGTGGCCTCGACGATATCTTCATTCAACCTGGCGCTAAAGTTCTTTACCTTGGTGCCGCCTCTGGTACCTCTGTTTCCCATGTTGCCGACATTGTTGGCCCCACCGGCAATGTCTATGCTGTCGAGTTCTCCCACCGCTCCGGGCGTGACTTGATCAATATGGCTAAGAAGCGCACCAACGTTATCCCCATCATCGAGGACGCTCGTCACCCATTAAAATATCGCATGCTCGTGGGCATGGTCGACGTTGTCTTTGCGGATGTGGCACAGCCTGACCAAGCTAGAATTGTTGGGCTCAACTGCCATCTTTTCTTGAAGGAGAAGGGTGGTGTCTTGGTTTCTGTCAAAGCAAACTGTATCGATTCGACAGCAGCCCCAGAGGCTGTATTTGCCAGAGAGGTTCAGAAGATGAGAGAAGAGAGGATTAAGCCTTTGGAACAACTAACATTGGGTAAGCCACTTTCCCAAAGTTATTTCAATGAGTGAGAGCACTAACAGATGTTTCTAGAGCCTTTTGAGAGGGACCATTGTATGGTGGTTGGTCGTTACCTGCGTTCCCAATCTTAAGTATTCTGTACAATAAGGTGGCATGAAATTCACATTTTTATCTGATCCTCGGCACGGATGGGATGGTCAAATGGATGGGCTATAAGAGGCAAGATGGGAATTTATGGCAGAGAAGCCACACCGGCCGTACTGTATATATACCTCCAGGGTCCAATTTCTCTTTCTTTTTGTATTGTCTATTTATTGATGTTCTCCCTACTCTTTTGGATAGTTCTTTCGAGAAAAAGGACCTCGTCTTTCTACCCATTATACTAGTACATGATAGCTCAGCATGAGAAATTGATGCGGCATTAGGGCACACCAAATTAATAACGACAACTGATGTATCGCAGTTGAATATAGCCATGTTGCCTTTGCCGCGGGGATCGCATTATAAGGATTCAGACCTTTTTTGCCAAGACAGGCACTACAGTATCGGTAATCAACGTCAGGTGTCCGGATACCGGTACGGTGCTTTATGTGGCCAAGCGTGATACAAGTTGTAGCTTGCCCAAGAATCTCAAAACCGGGTAACGAGAATCTCCCAATCTCCACCACTGACCCCAGCAACCCTAATGCCTCAAACGTGCCTGTCGTGCCGGTGTGTTCCATCCAGTGCGATAGGTACTCAGACGTCCTCTAAGCACTCAAGTAGACCAGACCCGCTCCGAAACACATTACAGCTCACGCGGGAGAACTATCCACCGGTAACCCATCAGCAGCAGAATAAGGTATCACCATCGGTGCGTTACCACTCCACCCTATCATCCTCCCCTTCTCCTGCGTTCTACATCCCACGCAAATACCAACATGTCTGCCCCAGCGGTATTTACCCCTCCGCTTCCGCATAACTACTCACTTACCATCACTCACGACAGCAAGAAGAGTGCTGCCCTGAAGATCAACTGGGCTGGGATAACCAATTCTCTTCGTCTTAAAAGGCGAACAGCCGCGTCACTCCTAGCATTCAAGAAATGGAACGAAGATGCTCGCAGGAAGGTGGCTGTTCTCAGGGAGCAGCCGATGGAGGTGGATTTCCCATACTATCAATCTATCCTAAGGAACCGGGCTGCTATCGACGAGGTTGAGAACGCTTGGAAGCGCTTTCAGCCGGTTACTTATGACGTTGAGAGACAGGCAAAGATTACTGAGGGATTTGAAGCCGAGGCGGTGAGGAACGCGGAGGCTGCAAGGGAGAGGGTCAACAACAAGTTGAGGGAGTTGGAGAAAACATTGAAGAACATCGAGGAGGTGAGGCCGTTCGAAGATTTGACTGTGGTACGTATATTTTTTACAATTAGGGGGGCTAGGGTCGGTGCCAGAAGAGGTTGGCAATGTGGAGTTTTTTTTAGTCTTGGGCTGCGTTCTATTGCACGAAGACCCCGAGTCTCCCGACCTGCCTTCGTTCAATCTGTTCCGCCTTTTGTCTTTTAACATTACCACCACTGTAGTCTGACCACTTTCTTATTTTTCTCGGATGATATTGCGGCAGCCCGTCCAGATATCGATTCTAGAACGGCTGATATGGCTGCAAAAGGTCGATGGATGCCGGCTGGATACAAGGTCTCTCAATTCCCCAAGCTCCTTCCCTAATACCTAGAACGCTAACATCCACAATAGGAGAAATTTGGCGAACTTTCTGTTTTGTAAAGTGGACCAAGTGAGGAACTGGCTTGTAGTCCGGGACTGCGTAGGTTGTTGGGTAGCGTGATCCTGCAGAGTGGATATCCCTTAAAACTGAAGCCTGGAGTTTCATCACCCACTATGCTGATAGTGTAATGATGGTTGATCTGTGCTTTAATTGAAGCTTTGGTATTGTCTCGGGTCAATGCATTTCTAACAGAACCTCCAGAGTAGAGATGAACCTTACAACGAGACGGAAAGCTGCAGTCTTACTCCCACCCCCTACACCCGTCATTGTTCCTGGGGAAGCGGGATGAGAAAGGATTCAGTTTATGAAATTGATGAAAAAATCGGACGGTACGCAGGTAGTGGGCTGAGGGATGGAATGAGATCATAAGCGCAATGGCCGTATCCTACCCACGGTTTCCAGCTTTTTTGTTGAGGGGAAGCTGGTAGTGGCAGATCAAATCGTGTCTGGGGTGATGCCCCGTCACCATCGGGCGGGGTCGGCAACGGACGTCAAAGTCAATTGGACAGGATACTGTACAGACTGGCCATACGCTGCATAGCAGTATATCACAATTGCTACCTATGCCACGGCAGCCATATCCCTCTCGGTTGTTATTGTTGCTGTTGGGAGTGCAAATAGTGTTAAAAGGTGACGTTGTTCAGACTGCGCTTGACAGGAAAAATTTGACTGAGGACAATGGCTGAAATATTCGGCTTGTCACCATCGCTATTACTGCGGAAGATGGTTGGGAGGTAAGGGGAAGGAGAGAAACAGGGAAAGCGGTCGAGAGTGAAGGGGGAGGATTTAAAGCGAGAGAGGGACCAGAGAAAGGAGGAGGAATAGCATTCCAGGAGTAGGGAATAAGCGGCTGCACAAGTGGTTGCTGAGTAAGCGCTGGCAGCGGGCAACAGCCGCAGCGAGAGAAACGGACCCAAACCTCCGCCTCGCTCATCTTCAACTTTTCGACTCTTTTGCACGCGAGAATAGGAGAAACCAACACTCGCAATACAAACTTCTTCCCCCCTCTCTCATCCGGCTACTCGTCTCTCACTTCCCTCCCCTCTTCTCTCTTTCTTTTCTTTCTCCATTATCTCCTCTCCAAACGCTCTTTCTTCTGCCTACAACGTCGCTTAGTCTTCCACAGCTCCTATCCCCCCTACAACCCCAAAATCCCCCCAGCCCTCTTAAACCCCTGGCTCATGAGAACAGCAGTGCTTGCCATGGAAGACCGGAAGCGACCTGTCCCGCATGAGCCATCTGACGATTCTTTACCTCCATTTAAACGACCAGCTTTGAATTCTGCCTCCTCTTCTCAAGCACCTCAAAACAGCCATCAGGTGCCACAAAGTCAAGAGGATGTCATTGTAAGTCGTTACCATTCCACGTTCCGCTCCCCCTCGTTTCTTTATTTTTATTTTTCAACCGCGGATTTCTCCTATCCTTGCCTTTTGCTTACCTCCCGCTGATGCCCACCTTCCTATAAGCACTTTCAAAAAGAAGCGATATGGCGTCAGATGATGGAATATAAGCGAGAGCGCAATATGCTGGAATCGAGGGTTGAAGAGTTAGACAAAAGATCAACATATCATGACGACCATTTACGAGTAATAGATGCCTGGTGGGCTCAGGTAAGGCCGAGATCTAAATCCCACCCCTCTTGAGTTTTAGGCTGAGATTTGACATGTAGCTGTTGGATGAAGTTCGAGTCCTTGCCGGCGAACCCGATGGCGGTTATCAGAATGGAGGTGGGTTGACGCCGAGAAATTATGTGGTGAATTTTTATGGCACTAACAAATCGGTTGACAGCTTCCCCGGAATTCTCCTCGTCCCTTCTTTTCAACGATATAGCAACTTTTACGGACCATTTGAAGGAAAAGCGTGATCACATAACATCTTCACTCCAGACACTATTTTCAGCGATCCGATCAAATCCCTCAAATAATAAAAAGGTTGACGCGGTCGAAGACTTGCAGCCTCGGCTGTGCGCCCTATTAGCTAGCGAGAAGGCCCGCAAAGTTGAGATTGCTCGCCTCCAGAAGGAAAAAGAGGATGCAAACTCTCGACTCACCGAAGCGACTATTAAGTACATGACAGCGGAGAAGAAGGTTGATCGCCTTAAGAGCCAAACTTTAGCGAAAATAGAGCGACAAGCTATGTTCCAATCGAATGCTGGGGCCGAAAATAATAAGGATGGAGGAAATAGTGACGAGCAATCCGCAAAAGATCAGGAGATCAACGCGAAAGTTGCCGAAGGAAATGTTGCTGATGCTGAGCAGGCCCGCAAAGAAGCCCAAGCAATTGCTAGTAAACAGAAAGAAGAGCTTCAACAATTGCAGGCCGATAACACTCGACTCTCAGAACAAGTAACCACATTTACAATCAAGGTATTTTGTCAGACTCTTTACACTCGCAACCCGGGCGCGGGGCATCGGCTGACGGAATTATAGTTTGGAAGGCTGTCGGAAGAAGATATATCCAAATGCGACGCTTACAAAAACCTCAAGGTCAAGCTCGAAGACCTAGCTACCCGGTTCAACCATATCGAAGCTCTCAACAGAGATCTGTCAGAGCGAACTGAACACTTTGAGGCCGAGCGCACAAAATACAAGGAGATGATTATCACCGAACAACGCACTATAGTAAATGATATGCAACTCCAATTGAGTAGGACAGAACAGGATCTTGCCCGTGTGCGGGCTGCCCGAGATGAGCTCATCCAGGACCAGACACAACGCAAAACGAGAGAGGATCAAAAGCTCGGATCGATTCGAGAGGTCAATGAACTGGCTGAGACAAGGGCTTCCAGGATTGCCTCGTTAGAGATGGAGGTTGAACGGTTGAAACTTGGGCTCGACAAGGAATCCCTCTCAGCCAGTCAATCTTTTACGGAATGGGGTTTAGAAGAACTCAGGCAGAAGTATGAGCAGCTCGACAAGGCTTATAAAGTCCTAACTCAGGAATTACCAGCGTTGGAGCAAGCTTTCAAGAAGGCTCATGATCAAGCATCCAGAAAGGTTGCAGGTATCCAAGAGAGTGAGGATAAAATGCGACGCTTGCAGGCTGAAGTACGCTTCCTCCTTTGTTTATTATGTTCGATGCTTACTATTCGCAGAAAGGAAAAGCGGATCAAAAGTACTTTTCAGCAATGAAGAACAAAGAGACATTGAGCGCTGAAAATCGAGCTCTGAAGAACTTGAATGCTAGGAGTACAGACATCATCACCCAACTCAAGGATGCAGAAAAGAAAGTTCGCGACCTAGTGGTGAGTTTCAATTCTGAGGGTATCTAATAAAAGCATATACTAACCAAGCTTAAGGTCAATTTGGAGAAACAGATAGCCGAGATGAAAACGATTCAACAGACCTTAATTACCAGGAATCGTGAACACCAGTCTCGTGTGGCAGAGCAAAACAATACCATTGATTCCCTGAAGTCTCAAGTTGCCGAACTTAGCACGTATCTGAAAGCTCGTGACGCAGCAGTGTCTAGGGAGTCTTCTGGGAGAAGAGAGGCGGAGATTGAAGTTGAAAAGCTTCAAGTGAAGCTAGAGGACGCACAGAGATGCCTTGAAAACAACAGGCCAAAGGGCAGTGAAAATTCGCAACTTGAAGCCCTAAGAGTATATTCCCAAACCACGCGATCAAATAAGCAAGAGAGATTGTTGACATATGCTTCTAACTTAGCAAATTGCCCTCTGCACCGTCTGCAGAAATCGGTTCAAGAATACTGCTATAAGGCCATGTGGTCATGTCTTCTGTAGACAATGCGCAGACGAGAGAATATCTTCGAGATCAAGAAAGTGTCCCAACTGCGGACGAGCATTTGCAGTAACCGATCTGATCTCCGTTCATCTGTAACTCTATTCTTACCCTTCATGGCAATAAATATCACATTTTGATACCACCCATCAATTTTAATTCCTTCTCCAGGTCTTTCCTTCCTCTATGACATTTCTTCTCCGTTTCGGTTCGTTTCAATACAAAAAATTAGCTGGAGGTCGCGGGATCTATTCTGATAGAATGTAGGGAATTTTGCTGGTTTTTGCTTACGTTTTTCTGCTCTACTTTGGCTTTTTCCCACTCTCTTCTCACGTTCAATTGATAAGGCTGGAAAGGGGGAGAGGGGGGGGCTTTAAAAAATATCAAAGTTTCTTTAATAATCGCCTTCCTATTTCTATGGACATGATTGATTCTTCTACCCTTTTCCTCTTCTCCCATTTTACTCCCTCTCCCCCTATCACCATTATTCTCGGATGAAAACAAAAGGAAAAACCACGGTACCTGTATATAACTATCCCCCTTTTCATCACCTTGCCTCTCTCATCATTTTTCTCTATTCCCTTCCCTACCCCTCCCTCCCCTTTATTTGGACATGGAGTTCTTTCGCTTTCTACTTATTTTGTATTCCTTTCACTTCGTTTTGCCTATACATTTCTCTCTATCACACTCAACCACTTGGCTATCTATGAAGTTCCAATTATCCCATACAAGACTTCAAGCATGATACACTTTTTGTATCCGATCTTTTCTTTCTCCTTCTCTCCCTCTTCCCCTCCCTCGATGGAAAAGGTAGAATTTGATCGAGAATATTAAACTCGCGACAAGCCATATTATGGCTCCTACAGCCTCCCCCTCAGAGCAAAAGTGACCCCATGGGTACCATATAGATATTCCACACCGGAAGTACTAACAGATGGATAAATGAAATAAAAAATGATGAATCTTGCCCGTTTTCTCCTCCCTTCCTCCCTCCCGCTTTCCGATCTCAGTTTTCTTTTTTCTTTTTTACCTCCGTCGCTAGGTTGGCACTGTGCCAGTGTCCTGTTTACCGTCCGTGCATCACAATGGTAATCCCTGTCTACTCGAGTAGCGGGGGGGTTGAGGCTCTGCGATAAGCCTTTTTTTGGCGGGGGGGTCTATGTCCGACAGGGGTTAGTTGATGGTCGTACACTGCTCAAGTACCGTACAGCAAATCTACACATCGTTTACAACGCTTAACCAGCCGCATCACCGTTACCATAGTCTATACGGTGCAGAAGTGGTTCCCGCTGTGCAGGGCGGGAGGGTTGCAACTTCGTATCGACCAGTATGGACCCGTTTCATTGTAGATTAATCTATCTGTCCTGGGGAGAATTCGAGATGGGTGGGGGGGGTCATGGGTGGATTGGGTGGATTGGGTAGGAGTATTACCAGCATCTCATGCTGCCGAATTCAGTTCAGTTCAGTGGGGGTGTGCGAGCCTTTATTTTCTGAATTATCATCATACTCTGTATGTGTGTGAATGTTTCCGACCACGATACTGTAAACTATCATACTATGAGATGGGTTTCTCTCGGTGAGAACTTCTTCTATGAGATGGGTTTCTCCCGGTGAGAACTTCTTCTATGATATTACACCAGTCGAAACTTGGCCCCCTTATCCTTTGCCACTGTATAGCACTGGTGGTACGATACAGGTACGATACCGGTAAGTGGGAGGGTTTTCTACTGTACTGTGCAACCTATCGTAGGTTCTGTCTGTCTGTCTGACTTGCCATGGAGTATCATATCATATCATATCATATCATGCTAACGGGGGGAAATTCCCACAGATATGATCCAATATTATAATGATAATATTCTATATATCGTACTACGGTAAAGCAACCCTCGGGATTAGGTCGCCGGGTATCTATCCCGAAAGTGAAGTTGGGAGGATAGTGTGAGAAGGATGGCTGAAAGTCCTTCCTTCCTTCCTTCACTTGGCCTTGATGAACTACCACGGTTCCCATGATCCTCAATAAATAAATACTCGAGTACTGTGATGTCCGGTTGACTCTCGGACAACGGTGACTGGTGGATGTTGATCTCTGAAGGGTCATCTTCCTCGGTTCTTCTCGAACCTATCAAGTACTGTACTGTACAGTAGTGTACCCCCCTACCGGTATTTTCCTCCACACTCACTCACTCACCGCTGGCTTCAGCACTAGATACAACGTGTGGCGACGACGAATACCTGTCAATTATCACGAGTCCCGCTAACTCGTCTAGCAACACCGGTACTGTATCCCTCTTTGCTACTTCGGTTGGACTACATAAATCCTGGTATATACTTCGCTAGCCGAAAACTACTACGGCTTTCGAGCAACTAACCACCACCTTCAAAATGCACCGACGCCCCTCCTCCCTTCATGCCGCATCTAACAAAATATGTTTATCATGACATGAAACCCCCCTACTTCTTGCTCGGCAACCCATCAGCTCCCATCAGCGTGTCATCAGTCCTGATGGGTCCTTCTCCGACCCTAGTCAAGATAACCCTACTAACACCATCCTTCAATGCCTCGAAGGGCTTATTATCGTATCCCTCCGGTGCAGTCCCTACGTACTTCCCAGCCCACTCGGCAACCTCCGGTGCCAATAACGTCCCCAAGAAACCCAGGACCCTCTCCTCGTCCTTCTCCTGATAATAGATGACCGCATTCGGACCCGCATCGAAAGTGTATGCTGCAACAGCCCTCCCTTCAAGCGTATTCAACGCTTCAACAGCACGAATAGCGGCCCTGGAGACGTCATTCATGTAGAATATCGGAGGTGTGGTATCCAGACAGATCGCATGGAACTGGTTCGAATCCGCCATAGTGTGAGCAGCAAACCGTTCAAAGTCCCTATCCCTAATAGCAGTCTTCATAGCCTCCATCCTCTTGGGAACAACGTTCCGAGCACGGTGGGTGAAGAGTGCAGATGTGTTCACGGTAGCCTGCATACCAGCCGTAGAAGAAACACCTTTCTTCGCAGCAGACACGACGAGAATCGCGGCTTTCATTTCCGGCCAGTGAGATGCTGGTGCCACCTCCACCGCGCACGAATCACTCCCATCCACCGCCTGTCCCATCTCCCACGCAACGTATCCACCGAACAACGATCTGCATGCAGAGCCGGACCCCTGTCTAGCGATCTTGGACAACTCGGTCGGCGACTCCGGCAGCTCGTACAAATTCGCAATGGCCCGAACTAAGGCTGCGAAGCCTGCAGCGGAAGATGCAAGTCCTGCCGCCGTGGGGAAGTTGTTCTCGGAGACGACATGAACATAATACTCGCTCAGCTTAGGCAGGGATGGGTCGGCATCCTCGAGCTTCTTCCTCAAAGCTTTGAGTTCGCGGAAGCAGGCGGTTTGCCGGGCTCCTGAGACGTCTTGGGCTTCGCCGTTTAGCCAGAGGGAGTTCTGGGTGAAAGTGCCACTACAGGCTGCTGTTGTGTGGGTTTTCAGGTCGGCCTGGGAAAGGGTCACGGAGAGGGAGGCGTTGGTGGGGAGATTGAGCTTTACGTCGCGTTTGCCCCAGTATCTGTTCAGGAATAAGTTAGATACCAGTAGGGGGTCTGTCGATCCGGGGGTTCTCAAGGCAAGGGGTAAAAACATACTTGACAACAGCAATGTTGACGGGGGCGGTAGTGCTCGCAGAGTAGACTTTCTTATCCGTCATGATTTATTCCCGCGATGCTCTTGATGAGAGAAGAATAACAATCCAAGGGGAAATTGACGAACCAACATCCCAGTTGTTAGTTGGGCTAGCTCGACGGGCCATGCCAAGCGGGTAGTTAAGTCACAAACCCTTCCCCATCAATCCTTGTTATCGGGGTAGGAGGAGAAACCTCGCCTCCCACCCCGAGAGGAACCACCGCCGTTGCAATCTCTCACTCTCCCCGCCACCCACCCACAACCCACTAAAAAATGGCCGGCTCAGAAAGTCCCAAACCCGCCGCCGCCGCCACCGCTACCACCGAAGCAGATGCATGTCCGGTACCTCACTCCGCCCGCTCAACATGGCTGTCCTCGGTGAAAACCTCGACCTCCTGCGACTCGTCGAAAATGGACCAGGCGCCCCCAGTGGGACATCCCAAGCCCTCCAATTCAAAGCTAGGTGTTGACCGGGAGGTCTCGACAATCCCGCGAGCGAGCATGGAGGGATCGAATTCGGAGCATGACCCACGCTATCAAGACCCTAGGAATGGAAATTGGATCTATCCTTCGGAAGCGATGTTCTTCAACGCCATGAAGCGTAAGGACTGGGATCCGAAGGCCGAGGATATGCGCACAATTGTGCCGATACATAATGCTGTCAACGAGAGGGCGTGGAAGGAGATTAAGGAATGGGAGGCCGGCAGGGGTTCTGAGAAGTCTGTTTCAAGCTCCGGCTACTCGCACACGCCTCCGAGCATCCGCTGACGTTCTGTGAACGCATAGATGCGGCGGGCCAAAGCTTGTCTCTTTCTCCGGGGACTCACGGAGACTCACGCCGAAAGCCCGGTTCATGGTCCTATTAGGGTAGCATCTCTCCCCCCCTCCTTTCATCTTTGCGGTGACCAAGACAGACTAGCTACCAAGCACCTTTCGACCGCCATGACTGGACCGTCGACCGCTGCGGGAGGAGGATCGACTACGTGATCGATTTCTACAGTGGAAAGCCCGACCCGAAACGGCCAGAAGCGTTGAGCTTTTACCTAGATGTCCGTCCCAAGTTATCACCGGAGGGTGCGTGGATGAGGATGCAGCGGTGGGCAGGTTCATTCTTCTGAGATGGTGCTTGTTATCATGAGATATCTATCCTGTATTATAGTGGGGATCTGTTTCTGTTCACCGCCTGTTCCGCCCCCCAGTCCTTAGTCATTGAACGTCACTCGTCCCCTACAAACTGGTGGTGTTGCTGATCCGTTAGGTTTGGCGCATTGCGTGGTATACTCGTAATTTGCGTTCATCACCAGAAAGTAGACAATACACGATACGCGCAACGCCCCTCTCTCCTATCTTTATTGACCTCACGTTTTCCCCGGAGTTTGCTCTCCCTTGATACCACCTTGCCCGTACATATAACATATATATAGCCCGCCACTCATCCCGCCGGGTCCCCAGCCCACATTCCTCACCCCGACTGCAGACACCGTTCCACACATCGACACTAATTGCGCTTCTCTCTCCCTCCAGGCTAAACCCATTGGCATTTCACTCAGGCATCGCTGGAAAAGGAAATGGAGCTTTAGCGGTGTCTCGGTAAACACTGGCATTTGTGCAACAAGCTCCATAAGTAGCACGAGGAATCATGGTCCTTTGCCTCCTCCACCAATACCTCTCGGGAGATCCTGGTGGGGAACCCGCTACGGTATGGTACGGTAGTAGGTCGACAGCTCAACAGGCGAGCAAATAGTCAACCACAAGCACATTTGTCGGCAGAGGACACATCGTTTTGAGTGGTAAGGAAACCGATTGTCAAAATATATCTCGAAACATACAAACAAAGAATCGAACTCCCCTTTCCCGTCATCCCTCCAACATATGGAACATCACCTTCTCTGCAGCGGACAGTCCACCCACTCGTGTTCCCACTCCCCGCACTCACAAACTCCTGTGGCCTCCCCACCCCTCCCCAGGGCCCTGAGCAAGAATCCAAGGTTGTGCAATGCTAGTTTAGTGCTCTCATGCCCACTCCCGAGTTTGCCTCCAGCCTCTTGCACGGTGCGCCTCAGCACTTCCTCGGCATCTCCGAATCGTCTATTGTCGGCATATATACTGGCAACATTAATCCTGGCCCGCACGGTATACACATTGACCACGCCTCCCCATCCACTCAACGCTCGCTCGTACATTTCCAACGCATCCTCGTCCTTTCCGACGTTCTGGTAGGCGAAAGCGAGGCCGGACATTGACCGGAGTGTTTGCGGGTGCATATTACCGTACACGCGGGTCTCACGGGAGAGGCAGATTGTGTAGAGTGCGAGTGCCATAGCGAAGTCCTGTTTGTCGGAGAGGTTGCGTGCGAGGGAGTGTAGCGCCCGGATGGTTTCCGGGCTGTCGCGGCCGTGGGTTATTTGTGCGGTGTGGGCAGCGGAGAAGGCACGATATTGGGAAAAGTGGTTGTGCCAGAGGAGGTCCTCGATGGAGAGGGCCTGTGGCGCGGAGGGTCCATAGGTTCGCACCGTCATGTTGTAGGTTGTAAGGAGGACCGCGAGGGCGGGAGGAAGGTCTCTGATGCGGCGGGTTTTGTGGCGGTTTGAGGGAGGCGGGGACGGCGATCGTGATGGTGATGGTGACGGAGGACTGGAGGCTGGTGGAGATGGCGGCGCGGAGGCGGGGTGGTAATATGCTGGCGGTGGGATTCCAGCCATTGCATCCTCCTCCGATCCTTCTTCCTCTTCCTCCCTATCCTCGTCTTCGAATTCCGGTTCCGCCGGATGCGCCGAGACACAATTCCTGGAAACAATCCTCTCCAGATCACAGTTGACTCTCTTCAGCTCGTCCACTAGGTCCTTGAACTTCCTCCCATCTGCGATCTCCCATGCTTCGTCCTCCCCCTCAGTAGTCTTCCAAAGGAACTTTCGAAAAAGTCCCCTCCCACCCTTCCTCACACCAAAGTTCCTCCAGGCCGTGGTTCTATCGGCGCACACCTCCACTACACTATTCATGGTAATCTCCACTGCACATAATAGATCCCCATTGTCGAAATCACTTGCCAACGGCTTCGAACGAGCATCAGCGCAAAGGCCGACTGCTCGCCCCCAGGCAACGAATATTGCGCGCTCAACCCACAACTGGTTGTGCAACGCCCTTTCGCTGGTGGGGGCTCTAATCAGACCGTCGTAGAGGGAAAGAAGTTGAGCAAAATTTTCAGCCATGGTTGCAAAGGTATGATGGTAAGTTGTCTGGTAGGGTTGAATACCGCACAGCGGGTTTATATGGTGTGAGAGGAGGGGGGGGGGGGATGAGAGTGAGAGAGGGGGGGTAAACAAGAGTCACAACATAGCCTTTAGTAACATAACAGTCAGTGACTGACTTGACTTGGTTTACGCTTGTCGGGGGTTAAGTTTTTCATGGAATGTGTATGCGGCGCTGTAGAGGGTTCGAGGTTGAGCGCGTGAGAGTGAGATGGGACTGACGTTAGTATTGGGAATTTTGCGTGTTTACTTACCCGTAAGATGCTGCGGTTAAACAACCAGTCGGGGGAGGGGGCTGAAAATGAATCTGATCAGGGCAATGAATCACAGCCAGTGACTCGCTACGCCAAGAGTTTGAATAAATAATGAATGCCTATCGGTAATTTGACGCATTTACTACTCGAGCATCCCAAGCGCGCCACAATTGTGACGGCCGTATGATAGCTCGTATCATAGAACTTGTGATATAGGGTAAAGCATTGTTTCATTCGAGTCAGGAAAGTCTTTTTTTTCTTTCTATTTCTCCTTCTCTCCCTTCCCCCTTCCCCCTTCCCCCTTCCCCCTTCCCCCTTCTCCTATTTGTGAGAGATTTGAGGATTAGCACCGTCATTTGCCACTCTTGCTAGGAACCAGTCATAGGTGAGTTACCAGCACTCGCCACACACACACACCGGACGGCAGGAGACGAGGGGTGATTTGAAACCGCAGCACTGCCGTTCGGTAAAGTACGATATGATACTTGCAGTACCGGTACCGGTATAGTACGGCTACCGGTAGTGGCATGGTACCGGCACTGTACGGGGTTCGCAATACAAATATAGTACCGCAGGCGGACCATCATTTTGGCAAATACTGTACGAGTACTTATTCCATCCTTTCTTTTTTCTATGGTACGATGCTAAAAAAGAAAAAAAGAAAAAGAGGGAAAGCAAAACAAGGGTCGTCAAGTACCGTACCGTATCATACTGGTATCGCACACTGGGCGGGTAAAATAAAACAAGGCAAGAAATTAAACATGGCCGCCTTCCCTTCCCCTCCCCCCCCCCCGTTCAGCACATTGATTACCGGAGAAGGAAGGAAGGAAGTAAGTAAAAAGTGATAAACAAAGCAGAACCCCACCGATCGCCAAATGCAAACAAACACCAAATCCCATGCTGAGACTAAGGAAGGAAGGAAAGGAAAAAGAGGGTATAATATCGGTACCGTAGCAATACTCAAACAGCGACGGGGGAATGGAAGATGAACGCATATATCGTATAATACACCCCTCATCCACTCCCACCAGAAAAAAAGCAAAAGACCCCCTCCGACAATGGTGACGGCGATGCACTCTCTCCATCTCACTCACTGGGACTCGCGCTCGCTGCCACTACCGCTGGCGTATCCACCGCCCGCGGGGTAACCCCCCAATGGACTCGGCAGACGACCCCACCTCCCCGTCCTCGTCCTCGTCCCCGCACCACCGGCACCACCACCGCCCTTATCGGTCTTAAGCTTGGGCCCAAACCTCGCCCATGCGCTCTCACGCGCAGAGACATCTCTTGTCCCTCTGGGTGTTGCAGGGGAGCTTCTTGTTCCCTCAATTTCCTCCTCTTCCTCCTCCTCTCCGGCAAGAGTGGCGGGGCTCGGCGGCGAGAATTTCAATGTTGGAGAGGTTAGTGAACTCCCGCTAAGCGGTGATCGCGGCGTCGGCGCCGGGGGTGATGGGGTTAGTAGTGGTGGTGGTGTTTGCGGATCGCTATCCTGAGAGATTGAGCGTAGGTACCCTGTTGGCAGCCCTCGGCCTCCTAGTCTTCCGGGCGAAACCGAGCTCGAGGGGGTAGATCCCCGATTGAGGAACAATATAGCGACGCTGACCACTGCAGTTATGATTATTAGTAACAGCAGGAGGGATTGCAGTTGGTAGATGCGCCGCTGGAAGAGGAGCTCGTCGGTTAGCAGGGTTAGCCGTGTCGTCAGGGTTTGTATCTGCTGGTCTGTGTGCGTGTTTTGTGATTCGAGGGCTATTACGGTTGATTGCCAGAGCTGGTCGTATTGTTCTCTCTGCTGAGCATTAGTACCGCCTGGGATTCGAAAACGGGGGGACGAACATAGCTACGCAGCTCTGCCAAAACTGTAGAATTCAGTTTCTCAATGAATTGTGTCGTCTTTTCCATCTGGCGCTTTTCAACCTTGACGAAGGCGTCGCGGAGGATGCGGGATTGCTCTTCTATGTATTGTAACGAGAGGGTTGCGTTTGCTTCCAGCAGGCTTAGGCGCTTGTGTACGGTTTTGAAGAAGCTTTCTTGTGTTGTTGGCACCGCAGAGGGTGGGTGGGAATGGGAGTGTGTTACTTGGGAGGAGGGCGTGGGGGGAGGAGGAGGGGGAGGAGGAGGAGGGAGGGGAAGGGGGAGGAGGAGGGTGGCGGTCGGGCTCGGGTTCCCGAGGGGCTGTGTCAGGTACTTTGGCACGGGCAGTGCAAGTATTAGATGTCGCTTCTTTCTCTTTCTCTTTGGCCTGGGAGGGAGTGTCCGGTGCTGGTTCCTTGCTGGCGCTGTCTTCCGGGAGATTCGGGACTGTAGTCGTAGGGTTGGCGGTCCACATTGCTGCGGAGGGGGAAGACATCGTCCCGGCGGAAACGATAGTGGACGACTCCATCACGACAGATGTGGGAGTGGAGTGCGTGGCAGAGGGCACATGCATGGCTGCACAAGTCGGTAGAAACAGGGGCCCAGATTCCAGCACTGATACCGGTCTGAAAATCGCCGGTCCGTCATGACCCTTTTGGACCCTGACCTTCTTCCGTACCGGTGCCTCATTGACCCCATACACCTCCTTCTTCTTCGGCGCCTCCTCCGCCGCTGCCGGGGTCGCAGTCGTAGCCCGTGCCAGCACCTCCTCCTCTATGTTCACAGCAACGGCCTCAGGAACCACCTCCTCAATGATATCCTCCTCAGCCCCACCAGCACTGATCTCACCTTGGTGCTTAAACTCTTCCATCATGGTCGTCCCATGCACCCTCAACAAGCTAACCGGGCAATAAAACTCGTTCCCATACTGAGTCAAAAACTCCACCTTCAAATACCTCGCCCAGATGAGCGGGTTCTCGATCAGGAAAGCCTGCACCTGCCGGGAATTCCTCGCCTCGAAGGTTCCGAGGTCCTTCCAGCCATTCTGCTTGATGGGATACCGATCGCTGACAAACACCTTGAAACTCCGAAACATGGACGAGAAGAACTCAAAGTTCGCCAGGACGACGGTGTCGACGAGTATGTCATCGCAGAGCTCCACAATGAAGAACCTCTTCTCGGCACCGCATTTATCGAGCATGTAGCTATCCTTATTCTCCACGAGTATAGAAGTAGCCCCCTTAGCCTCAGGATTCGTCTTATGCACCGTGGCCGCGCAGTCAAAAGAAGCGTAATTGAACCTCTCCTTGCACGTCGTCCCCGCATTCTTGGACCTTGAATGACCGCGTGGGTCCGGGTTGTCTCCACCTCCTCCTCCTCCACCGGCCGTCGGCGAACCGGACCCGTCCGAGCGACCAACCTTATACTCGGGTGCTCCACCGTCAGCTTCACCACCAAAGTCAAACTCGATCTCAGCGTCCTCGCCCAGAGAGTCCAAAGCGTTGTTGAGGGAACCGCTAGCGCCACCGCGCCGGGGCTCCCGCACCCGGTCCTCAAAGCTCTCGGAGCTCTGCCCAGCACAGGCCAAATTCCGCGCTTTCCATTCCTCGAAGGAGAGAAACTTGGCCGTGTCGAGGGGGGAATCCTCGCCTTCGTTTTCTGTAGCCCCCGGTGGCGGCGGTGGTGGTGGTGGTGGTGGGGAGGCGGCCGTGTCCGTAGGTGGGTTCTCGGATGAAATTGTTAAACTCGCCGAAGGAACCTGCGTAGGCCTAGAAGCTTCAATAGCTATCTGAGTCCCCCCCTCCGCTTCACCACCACCCATCCCCGCCGTAACTAGCGCCGCAGAAGCAGTCACCTGCTCAGAACCAGAACCAGGCCCACCCCTCAAACACTGCTGCGGTAACCGATGCGTGATATAATTCGCCGTGACAGCTCGACATGTGGACGCCGTCGCCGTCGTCGCCACTAGGCACAACAGTTGTAGCAGTAAAGCGAGCAGTGTCGTCGAC